GTATCTGTACTAGCCACAGCACATAGTTTACATAGAATTGAAGGAGTTTTTTTTAAATTGGCTCCAGAAAACACAACATAATACCAAGACAAATACAAGGACTATTTAAAAATCTGTGGGGTTCACAGGAGAGTGAATAAGATAAGTTTATTGTTAGGAATTGCAAAATAATGGCAGGCAAACCCTAGTTTCTTCCTATGTCTAGAGCAAAATTCATTTTAACCAGAGTCTTTTTCAAATTATGCAAACTAGTAGTTTGCCAGAGTTTCTCCAACCCTGTCATCATACTAAGTAGGTCATATGAGAGAGCACTGTGCCTTCATTACATGTTACTTAATTCCTTCTATATCTAAACTAATCTTTAAAACTCAATAATGTGATGTTCAGGTTTTAGCCACTGTACCTGAATGTGGTACTCAGAGAATGCTTACAGCTTGCAGAATTTTAATTTAGGAACAAATCTACTGGTATTTTGTTTCAAGTTTTACATTTACTTAGTCTGCCTAACTCATAGAAAGATATATGAGTCAGGTGCAATTTATTTGAGTAATTTGGTGGTGAATACTTAATTTTTAAATTATTAAGTATACTTTGAAGCAATGAGTTCTAGGTTGCTTAATTACAAGAATCCTCATCATTGCATCCAATAGGTTGCAGTAGACATCACCTGTAATTGATTGACCAGGTTTCATGAAACCATAGTGGATAATGCCAATGCTGGACCACCAAACAGACACCATTAGCTTTTATCAATGCATATTCAGTTTTGCACTGTGTTTCGGCACTTCATCATCATCCAACCATGGTGCTGAACGCTTGCAATTGTCAAAAACAATGCGATTTTCATCACACATCACAATACAGTGTAGAAATGGTTTGCCTTTATGTCGTGACAGCAATGAAAGGCAAGCATGGAGATGATTTCTCTGCTGATGCTAATTTAAGTCATATGAAACCCATCTGTCCAGCTTCTTTACCTTACATATTTTTTTAAATGATCCAATATTGTTGGAATAATAACATCAAATCTTGCTGCTAATCCATGTGTAGATTGAGATGGAGTCGCTTCCACTACAGGTTTCATCTCATCGTCATCCACCTTGGTCTCAGGTTGCCCACCTGGCTCATTTTCAAGATTAAACTCACCAGAATGGAACTTCTCAAACCATCGATGTACTTTGACTTCATTAACCACATCCTTCCTAAACACTTTGTTGATATTTTGAGCAGTCTGCGTAGCATTGGTTCCATAACAGAACTCATATTTGAAAATAACATGAATTTTAGACTTATCCATATTTTCACAAAAAATTGCTCTTAAAAAGTTGAAAGATAATCATAAGCTAAACCATGCATTTGAAAGAGTGAGGCTTTGCATTCAGGATATAAATAAAACAAGATGTGTCAAAGTAAAATATCAGAGATATCAACTGTTAAACTTAGTACTTAAGTAAATTGGACATTTCGTACTTAATAACCTAATACGTTATCTTTAAGGGTAGTGGGTGTTATTGTGTCTTCACAAAGGAGCATAGTACAATGTAATATTGGGGACCACCAAACATTCCAGATTGAGTCATAAGTCAATTTTTATACACTTAAAAATGATAAGAGTTTTAGATCAAGAGACAAAAATGTGTTCAGAGAATTAATGCCTCCTAATCCAAATATCAAGAATGTTCCACACTCCTCAGCCATTTGTTTCAATATACAATTACCTTTAGAGTGCAGGATAGTATATTATATGCATACTCAGTGAATATGGGAACAACTGGAAACTTCCTTCATTCTACTATATACCCGGTAGTCAACAAAGGTGAGAGTTGTGAGAAAAAGTTCATCCAAAGCACACAAAAACTTTGGAATCCTTTAATGAGGTTTTTAACAACATTTTTATTCAAGTTTATTTAGAATATATGATGTATAAAACATTAGATTTATGCCAAATATACTATTTAATATTGACTGTAGACTAAAAGCTTTTCAATTTATAAAATAAATATTAATATAGTCTCAGCTCTAGCATTGTTGTATGCTGTTGCTGTGATAGTGCAATAACATTAATATTATATGGTACAATTTTGTGTCTTCTAAATATATGCTTATTTGTAAATTTTTTCCTCACTATTTTACAAATTACTGTTCTGTAATGATGATGTAATCCATATCTTTTTTTGTTTTTTTGAGACAGAGTCTCTCTTTGTTGCCCAGGCTAGAGTGAGTGCCATGGCGTCAGCCTAGCTCACCTCAAACTCCTAGGCTCAAGCAATCCTCCTGCCTCAGCCTCCCAAGTAGCTGGGACTACAGGCACATGCCGCCATGCCCAGCTAATTTTTATATATATATATATTCGTGGGCCAATTAATTTCTTTCTATTTATAGTAGAGACGGGGTCTCGCTCTTGCTCAGGCTGGTTTCAAACTCCTGACCTTGAGCAATCCTCCCACCTTGGCCTCCCAGAGTGCTAGGATTACAGGTTTGAGCCACCATGCCCGGTGTTCCATATCTTGAATATAGTGCTGAAATGATGGAGTGGTTTCGTTTTTCCTTAGCAATTGATCTTTCAAATTTTTGCATCTTCTGGTATTAATTATGTTTATTGGCCCAATGTTATTATAAAGAATTCTCAGTGTTACAATGTGTTTTCTTTTATTATTTATTAAGATACTCCCTTCTCCTCACCATCCTTCTTAATTACAGCATAACAATGTCTTATTGATTTTAATTGGAATTTCAAATTTGTAAATGCTAAATTATGTCAATACACCAAGCAATAAATTAACCCCCTGCTCTTAGGCAGTGACTGTACAATCGCAAATATCTAGATGAAAAGAAAGAACAATTGATGTAATCATAGGAGTGTTGCATGTTCTCAATGAACATACCAAACCTCAACATGATCAAGGGATTGATTTCTCGTCTATTAAGCCAGTCTATCAAATTCAATCAGATGTCCTACCTTCTAAATTTTCATGCATCTTAACTGAATGACATATAGCAGGAACTGAACAGTTAATTACTTCCCCATTTGGTTGGCAAAACTTTATCCCCATAGGCAGGGCCAGATACCCCTCAATGTTTACATATACCACTGGATAATCTGGTATTTACTTGTCTCAACTCACTTAGTTGGAAACTGGTCAATACTCCCATGTTTGGATTCATGATTAACTTAGACACAAAGGAGCTTGAAAGAGTCCTGATGAGGAGGTAGATTCTCAGACCTGGAGTAAAAGTAGATGAGTGGATACATAGGTTTAAAAATCTCTCAAAGATTCTAGGAGGTAATTTACTTAAATAAAATTAAAATCTTGAGGGGAATACCAATGGGGCCTGAAAATTTTTCTTTAAAATATCTCCAACACTTAAATGGATATATAGGAATAACATTTATCAGATGTCGGGCAGGTGGGGGGAGGAGGGAATGGGTGTATACATACATAATGAGTGTGATGCGCACCAACTGGAGGATGGACACGCTTGAAGCTCTGACTCGAGGGGGGAGGGGGACAAGGGCAACATAGCTAACTTTAACATTGATACCCCTGTAATATATGCTGGGAAAAATAAATAAATAATCTCTAACTCTGAAAACAGGGGTTTTTTTTGTTTTTGTTTTTTCGCAAATGTGTTGTTTGAAAGTGAAAGTATAAAACTATTTATCCCCTTCGACCTAGAAATCCCCCTCTGGGAATTAACTTATTCTAAGGAAATAATGCAAATTAGTGTTTTTGTTATATTCCAATTTATAATAGTGACAAATTTAAAACCAACTTAAAATCAAATATTTAATAAATTTAGTACATTAACTCAGACTACTATGTAGCTATTATGCTTTTTAAATATTATACCTGAAACAATATGGCAGAGTGTTTACAATGTAAAAATGGGTATCCATATGAACAAAGCCTGGGAGGAAACTCAGAGAAGTGAAAATAACTAATATATGGAATATTGGGAACATAAGTATGTTGATTTTTTACCTTTCTTAAGAAACCAATAAATGTACATACTTTACAGAGTGTCCAAGGGTCCCAGGTCTAAACCCCACACAAAACAGGGTTGGAGTTTTAGGCAGCAAATGGGATAGTGTAAGGCAGGTGGAGATGCTAATGTCACAATCCCATCATGAGAATGGTGCAGAACCACTGAGCCCTAAATAAATGAAACACATCAGGAAAATAGAGAAAGCTGCCCACACAACTATTCTGTTTTCTAAAGCTAAACAATCTACCATTGCAGTGATTATATTTAATCCTTTACTCATCTATTTAAAGTATTCTCCTGTCCTGGAAATCATTCTGTGTTTGCTTCCTATATGGGTTTAAGCAATGATTCTACCCCCACAGTATGCTAAGTGCCAGAAGAAATATTTATGCCACTGGAGATAATGATAATATAGGAGTCTTCATGTTATAGCATGGATGATCAAAGTAAAATACGATTTCAAGTTGGAATCCATGGTTTCCCGTTTTATCCAGCTTATTCTGTACGAAAGTATGTTGCATATGACTAGATTTGCTTCTTTGTAGGTTGAATTTGAGAAGCAAATAAGTGATTCTTCTGTTTCTTACCATGTATATTTGCATGCTATCATACTCTTATAAATAAATGTGTTCTTTTTGAGTGAACGGCACTGTTATTCTTTAAACTATAGTATATGTATGATAGATGTTTGGAATGGAAAGCAGTGGTGCTAATTTAGAGGCTTTCAACATATAAGCGCTTCCATAAACTAGCTATTCATTATGATTTCAGGTTTGTTGAGACTACCAGTAAGGCAAGAGGATCTATATTATTATTGAGAATGGTTTAGTCTTCCCAGAGGTAGAAAAAATCTGTAGGCTATTGAAAGTTTTGAAATCATAAAAATAAGTTATCTGTGTTCAATAATAATTTTCTGAGGTAATATTAATGATTACAGCCCCAAAAAATGGAATTCAAAAAGTCTTCTCATGGAAAGTTGTTAAATCAAATCTGTTCATATGTATTTTTTTTAGGTGGAAGTGAATCCTCCTGGGATAAGGATAAGATGCAGTCTCCTCTTGCTGTTCCTGGACCCCAACATGGAATTGCTCATGCAGCCCTAGCTGGCCAGCCAGGCCTTGCGGGTGCTCCTACCCTCAATCCACTGCAACAGAACCACCTGCTAACCAATAGTATGTATGCTGTCCTCCCCACACTGACTGTGTTGAGGAAAAGACCATCTAAAACATACTAGACACCTTGGTCTGGCAGAGCTTACTCTATTTTTCCTCACTGAGGTTTAACAATTTGAAATCAGAAGGAAAGATTAAAAGGGACTCATTTCAAAGTGTGGAATTCACAGACTAGGGAGGCTATGTAGGAGAGTAGTTAAGAATGTTGGCTAGAGTCGCATAAACATGTGTTTGAATTCCACATCATTTGAATTCTGCATCACGATTTTACTTTGGAGAAGCCACCTGACATTCCCAAGTCTCAGTTTACACAACTAAAAAGTACAGATAAAAAATATACCCACTTAAGGTTATTGTGAGGGCTAAGAATAGTAAAGGAAATGCTGTTAACAATGAATTGCATTTATAGTAAGTACTATATAAATTATAAGCATTATTACTTAGCAATTACACTACAGTTAATGTATAACAATTAAGGTTTAGATGATGTTTTTAGGAATTTTAAAGACTAAGAAATCTTCTTGTCGTAATGCAGGTATTGTATATATTACTTGCCTAAAATCTTATCTTTTGTACAAACAGGACATCTAGGAGAGAGTTTCATTACTCTTTTCTCTCAGACTATCATTCTTCCAATAAACTCTAGGATTAAGGCAACAAAAAATTATAAGATATTTTAATATGATGGCACACATCTTAGTGAAATTCACCAGTTATTTAGCATACAAAAATAATTTATGAAATCTTACTTTAAAGATGTTATAATCTAAAGCATAAAATGTCAAATACAAAATAAAATGTTAAGCAAAGGCAAATATAATGAATGATAGAAAATTTACAAATATTATATAATATGAAGTTTAATTTTTTATTTAAAAATATTATGGGGTTACCTGCTTCTTTCACCTTACAGCTTGGGAAAATAATCCTTATTCAATAAATGGTGCTGGGAAAACTGGATAGCCTCATGTAGAAGACTGAAACAGGATCTGCACCTTTCACCTCTCACAAAAATCAACTCATGGTAGATAACAGAATTAAAGCTAAGGCATAAAACTATAAGAATTCTAGAAGATGTTAGAAAAACTCTTACAGACAGTGGACTAGGCAAACAATTTATGTAGAAGACCCCAAAGGCAATCACATAAACGACAAAAATAAATAAATGAGACCTGATCAAACGCAAAAGCTTCTGCACAGTCAAGAAAACTATCACGAGAGCAAACAGACAACCTACAGAATGGGTGAAAATATTTGCATGCTACACATCCAATAAAGGGCTGATAACTAGAATCTATATAGAACTCAGGAAAATCAGCAAGAAAAAATCAAACAACCCTAAGAAAAAGTGGACAAAGTAAACAACCCAAAGAAAATGAACAGAAACTTTTCAAAACAAGACAGATTAATGGCCAACAAACATTTGAAAAAATGCCCAACATCTCTAGTCATCAGGGAAATGTAAATCAAAACCACAATGAGATATTACTTAACTTCAGTGAGAATGGCCTTCATCAAAAAGTCTCCAAACAATAAATATTGGCATGGATGTGGAGAGATAGGAACACTCATACATAGTTGGTGGGACTGAAAACTAATACATCCTCTGTGGAAAGTAATATGGATATACCTCAAAGAGCTACAAGTAGAACTACCATTTTATCAAGTAATTCCATTACTGAGCATCTATCGAAAGGAAAATAAGATATTCTATAAAAATGATATCTACACTAGAATGTTTATAGCAGCCCAATTCACAATTGCAAAGATGTGGAAACAACCCATGTGCCCATCAATATATGAGTGGATTAATAAAATGTGGTACATGTATACCATGGAGTTCTACTCAGCCACAAAATCAATAGTGGTCCAGCACCTCTTGTATTATGCTGGATAGAGCTGGAGACCATTCTACTAGATAAAGTATTACAAGAATGGAAAAAAAAGCACCACATGTACTCACCATAAAATTGGTATTAACTTATCAACACTGATGTGCACATATTCATTCATTACATTCATTGGATGTTGGGCAGGTCTTGGGGAGGAAGGAATGGATATATTTACACCTGATGGGTGCAGTGCACATTGTCTGGGGTATGAACATGCTTGAAGTTCTGACTCGGTGTGACAAAGGCAATATATGTAACCTAAACATTTGTACATCCCTAATGTACTGAATTAAAAAATAATAATAAAATAATAAAAAACAGTGTAAAGGGACAAAGCAAGCACCACAGCCAAATTCAAGTATAAATGATATTATAGAACTATTGGACTGGGAATGTATAATAACTGATTAATATGCTAAAAGAATGAAGAAAGTGGATAAAATACAAGAATTTATGTGAGATTTAAGCAGAGATGGAAACTCTAAGAAAGGAGCAAAAGGAAATGCTGAAAATATAAATACTCCAACAAAATGAATCATAACTTTTATAGGATAATTATAGAATGGAAAGAATGAACGAGCTTGAAGACAGGTCAATAGAAACTGCAAAAACTGAAAAATCCAAGAGAAAAAGAAACAAGAAAAAAAAAAAAAGAACACAATATCTAAGAACAATGTGGCAATTACAAAAGGTGTAATGTTCATGTAATGGGCATAGCAGAAATAGATGAAAAATAGAAAAGAACAAAAGAAAATTTGCAGTTAGAATGGCTGAGAATTTTCCAAAATTAATGAGAAACACCAAGCCACATATCTAAGAACCTCAGAGAACACTAAGTAAGATAAATACCAAAAAAAATCTAAAAATATGCATATCAAAATTCGACTGCAGAAAATGAGTGACAAAGAGAAAATTTTGAAAGAAGAGAGGAAAAAGTTCTTATTTCCTATAGAGGAACAGAGATAAGAATTATATTGTCTTCTCTTTAAAAATCAGTCACGTAAGTAGAGAGTTGTATGAAATATTTAGAGTGTTGAAAAAACACACCAACCTAGAATTATGTTTCCAGTGAAATTTTTCTATAAAAGTGAAAGAGAAATAAAAACTTTCTCAGGCAAAAATTGAGGGAATTTGTTACCATACCAGTATACTTGCATTGTAAGAAATGTTGAAAGGTCTTCAGAGCAAAGGACAATGATATAGGTCGGAAATTTAAATCCGCATAAAGAAAAAGAGCATTAGAGAAGGAATAAATTAAGGTAAATTAAATGTTTTTATTCTTAATGACTCTAAAAGATAATAATCTATTGAGGCGGGGCACAGTGGCTCACGCCTGTAATCCTAGCACTCTGGGAGGCCGAGGCAGGAGGATTGCTCGAGGTCAGGAGTTCGAAACCAGCCTGAGCAAGAGTGAGACCCGCCTCTATTATAAATAGAAAGAAATTAATTGGCCAACTAATATATATAGAAAAAATTAGCTGGGCATGGTGCACATGCCTGTAGTCCCAGCTACCGGGAGCTGAGGCAGGAGGATTGCTTGAGCCCAGGGGTTTGAGGTTGCTGTGAGCGAGGCTGATGCCACAGCACTCACTCTAGCCTGGGCAACAAAGCGAGACTCTGTCTCAAAAAAAAAATAGTAATCTATTGAAAATAATAACGAAAACAATCTATCAGCAGATTATACCTAATGGACAGGTGAAATAAGTGACAACAATATAAGGAACAGAAGAAAGAAATTAAGAATAATCTGTCAAAAAGTACTTATACTATCTGTGAAGAGGTATAGTGATATTTGTAAATAGATTAGTTTTTTTATTTTTACTTTTTATTTTTTTTATTTTGGCATATTATGGGGGTACAGATTTTAAGGTTTCAATAAATGCCCATTTCCCCACATCCCCCCAAAAGTCTGAATCTCAATCATGACCATCCCCCAGATGGTGCGCATCTCACTCGTTATGTTTGTATATACCCGCCCCCCTCCCCCCTCCC